CTCACCGTGGCCTGTTCTTTCCACTTCCTAACAGGCTCCACTCGAGGGCCTCGTTTTAACTTAATCACCTCTCAAAGGCCTAATCTTTTTATATATATATACATTTTTATTGATTTCAGAGAGGAAACGAGAGGGAGAGAGAAATAGAAACATCAATGATGAAAGAGAATCATTGATAGGCTGGATGCCTCCTGCACACCCCAAACTGGAGATCAAGCCTACAACCCACGCATGTGCCCTACAGGGAATTGAACCATGACTTTCTGGTTCATAGGTCAATATTCAACCACTGAGCCTTGCCTGCTGGGCTAAAGACCTTACCTTTAAACATGGTAACACTCAGAGGTATCAGGGATTGGGAATTCAACACATCAGTCCTTGTCATTCATTTTAGAATATTACCGGGTAGTTGAGGTGCTTCCGTCCTCAACTTGAGTGTAACCTTCCTGGTAAAAGGCCCTCTTTTAAGATCCTGTGTCCCCAGGAGTCAATGGTTTGATGGATTTTTCCGATCACTATTTTCCCAATCACTATTTTGTGCACATGTATCCCGATACACATATAACTTGAAGGAGAACATAAAATCAGCTGCAGGGGCATTATGTCAATGACTGGGCTCGATTTCTGAGCTTCCTTCCACATCCTGTTCATTTCCCATCACTGGCCACGTGGCTCCCTTCCCAGGAAATTCTCTTTCCCAGGAGTTTCAGACATTCGCTTCCTTATATGTAGGCCTACCAAGACGTGCCATCCTTCTAGTTCCCTCTGTGAAACTCTACTTAAATCCCTCTGTATGGCTCGTGTTCACATCTGCATCTGGTGGCAACCTGAGAGCTGGGGAAACTGAGACAGTGCAATGCCTTTTGCCCCAAGACTTCCCGCATCCCCCAGACACTGAGAGGACTCAACCCAAGCTCTTCCAGTTCCAAGGACAAGGCTCTGTCCAAGAACCCAGGCATCCTCCTCCCGCTAAGAGAAGAACACCAGGGCCTTGTGTCTTATGGGCAATAATTCCTGTAATGAGGTGAGGTGGTAGTCTCACCTACGAATCCTGGGGAACCCTGAAACAGCCTCCCTTTCAGAACCCAAAGCATCAACATGACTCTTTTGTTGGTTCATAAAATGCTCCAATGCTCAAACCATATGTTCAAGTATAATTCCCCATGGTTATATTCTTCCTTACATAAAAAAAGAGAAATTTTTCAACATCAGGTAGAGAAATAAGCATGAATGTTGGGGGAAAGAGTCTGCACTTAGCCCTGAGTCTGTTCCAGGGTAGCAGAGCTGACACCAGCTTCACAGCCTGGCCTCTCCGGCCTTTGCTTCCTCAGTGGGTACCAGAAAGCCCTGCCCAGAATCATCCACACATGAACACGAGCCTTGCTAGACACGTCCTGTGTTAATATTGCTTCTAGGAAAGGGGGAAAGCTGACCTAAGTATCGAGCAGTCTTTCCCATCAGAGTGTACATTTCATGTTACCATCTAAATAGATATAGACATAACAAGGAGCTTCAGTTTGAAAGTGAAGGTGAAACCCAGAAATCAACCCAAGCTCAATTAACATTTGACAAAGAAGACAAGAGCATACAATGGAGTCAAGAGTCTCTTCAATAAATGGGGTTGGAAAAATTGGACAGATGTATGAAAAAACAATGAAACTAGACCAACTTACACCATACACAAGAATAAACTCAAAATGGTAAAACACTTAAATGTAAGTCTGAAACCATAAAAATCCAAAGAAAACATAGGCAGCAAAATTTCAGACATCTCTCATAGCAATATGTTTATAGATACATGTTCTAAAGCAAAGGAAACTGAGGAGAAAATAAACAAATGGGACTACATCAAAATAAAAAGATTCTGCACAGCAAAAGAAACAATCAGCAAAATAAAAAGGGAGCCCACTGCATGGGAGAACATTTTTGGCAATGATACATCTGATAAAGGATTAATATCCAAAATATATAATGAACTCATACAACTTAACAAAAGGAAGACAAAGAATTCAATTTAAAAGTGAGCAAAGGACCTAAGTAGACAATTTTCCAAAGAAGACATACAGATGGCCATGAGACATGAAAACATGCTCAAAGTCACTGATCATCAGAGAGATGCAATAAAAAATGACAATGAGGTACCATCTCACACCTGTCAGAATGGCTACCATCAACAAAAAGACAAATGACAAGTGCTGGCGAGGATGTGGAAAAAAGGGAACCCTAGTACACTGCTGGTGGGAATGCAAATACTTCAGCCACTGTGGAAGACAGTATGGAGTTTCCTCAAAAAACTAAAAATGGAACTCCCATTGATCCCAATTCTAGAAATATACCCTAAGAAACCAGAAGCACCAATCAGAAAGAATGTATGCACCCCTGAATTCATAGCAGCACAATTTACAGTAGCTAAGATCTGGAAACAGCCCAAGTGCCTATCAATAGACCAGTGCATAAAAAAGCTGTAACACATTTATATTATGGAATACTATGCAGCAGTAAAAAAAGAAGAATATTTTACCCTTTGAGACAGCATGGAGGGACCTAGAGAGTATCGTGCTAAATGAAACAAGTCAGTTGAAGAAAGATAAATATCATATGACCACACTCATATGCAAAATCTAAGTAACAAAATAAACTGCTGAATGAAGTGGATCCTGAGACATGGAAGCATGGAACAGAGTGCAGAATCTTGGAGGGAAGGTCGGGGAGGGTGGCTGGGTGGGAGGTAATCAGCCAAAGACCTTGAATGCATAGATGCATAGCCCATGGACACAGACAAGGGGTGCTGAAGGCCTGGGGCGGGTTGGGGGGATGGGGCTGGCTGGAGGGAAAAGGGGACATATGTAATACTTTCAACAATAAAGTTTTTTTTTCAGAAACTGGTTTGGCTCAATGGTTAGAGCATTGGCCTGCAGACTGAAGGGTCCCAGGTTTGATTCCGGTCCAGGGCATGTACCTTGGTTGCGGGCACATTCCCGGTGGGAGGTATGTAGGAGGCAGCTGATGGATGTTTTTCTCTCATCAATGTTTCTAACTCTCTATCCCTCTCCCTTCCTCTCTGTAAAAAAAAAAAAAAATCAATAAAATATATTTTTTAAAAAGAATTATTTTTTTTTTAAAAAAAAGAAGTGAAGGTGAAATCTTTGCCAAGCACTTTGGGGCGCTGCCCGGCCCCCCATAGGAAGGACGCGTGACAAGAGCCATCCCTGAACCCGAGGCCTGTCTCTGCGTGGCGGGCGGGGCTCAGTGCCAATCACTCCTGGTGCCAATGTCAGGAACGGGGGTCCCACCAACAAAAGCCCGTGTCACTGGCCCGACCCCTCTGTGCAGACGGCAATGGGCCCTTTGACTCCCCGGAGCCTGGCTTTCTGAGATGGATTCTGTTTGCTCCCTGCGGAGACCGGGCACTGCACGTGGCAGCTATGAATGGGGTCTCCCGGGAGGCTCTGCAAGCGGCTGGAGGGGGTGGTCTGCGTGTGCGAACCTCCTGGGACGGAGCTGCAGTCGGGCTGTGACACACAATGGCATCTATGTGTGACCCGCGGGCTGCACACTGCTTCCCGGCGAGGGGGGCGCACGCCCAGGGGGGACCAGCGGGCTCTGTCTCCCCCTCCCTCGTCTCAGAGAGGCTGCTGTTTGTCTGCTGGGGAAACATTTTAAAACCAACAAATGCATTGTTCTTCAGCACAACCCTTATTTTCCCCCTGTCTCCATGCCTTCATTTCTAGTTCTCCAAAGTCTCTTCCCTTTTCATTTGATGGCATTTTGATGGGCCTCTGCCCAGAGGACGCACACAGGAGGTCAGATATGCCCATTGTCTTTGCAGGCTGAGCTGTGCTGTGGGGACCCATGAGGAGATCCGGAGTTCTCATCCCCTTCCTGCTCTCATAACCGACAGCGCTCCCTGCGCTCAGAGCTCAGCAATCGCAGCCATCACGGCGTGCCCTCAGCACCCTCCCTGGCAGCTGGCTCAGTTCCTCCTGGGAGTGGCTCGCTGGACCTCACACAGGTCACTGGGAAGCCAACAGGGAGCCAGAACCCAACTGCATGCGCAGAAAGTCCCTGCTGAGCAGACGGGACAGGACCATGGACTCACACTGACCCTCTGCAATCCTGAGGGAAGGCCGCCCCGGGCCCCAGCCAGCTTCCTCGCACCTGGGCCCAGTCTGCGTTAGCTGGCATGTTTGTCCTGTTTTTTTATTCCAGAGAAGAAGGGAGAGGAAGAGAGAGATAGAAACATCAAGGATGATAGGATCGAGCCCGCAACCCGGGCCTGTGCCCTGACCAGGAATGGAACCGTGACCTCCTGGTTCATAGGTCAACGCTCAACCACTGAACCACACTGGCCGGGCTTGTTCTGCTTGGTTCCATAACAGATGCTACCGGTGAACAGTGGGAATCTGAAGCACAGCACACCTCTTCTCTGTACCGTGTCACCTGCCCCCAAAACAGCCAAAGGGCCGGGTGGCGTCGCTAAGTGATACTTCACAACCCGACTGAGCCATTCTCTCCTGCGACCCAGGAATGCACGTGGACCTCGCACAGCCCAGCACGTTGATAAACATGCTGACTCCCCGGGGATAACAGGTGACTGCAGGGCAAGGGGACGGAAGGAATATGCTACAGGCTCCTGAGGACAAATGGGCCCTTGAACGTTGAACTTGGAAAGCACGGGGTTAGCCAGCATTCTGAGTTGCACACCGAATAGCCCCCTTTTCCAATCACCCATCCGCTCAGCTCCCTCTGCTCTCCACTCTCTGAGAATCCAGAGCAGGTCCTTGGGATAACTTCCGGAGAACAGCACAGTGAAAACAACAACCTCGGCCGAGAACACAGACTTCCTGTCTTTCCCCGGAGGTCCCCGGGGACTAGGGGGACCTGAACATGCACATCAGACTCCCAGGCCAGGCGCTGAGGGGCCCCTGTTGGACGCCAGCACCCTCCTCACCCCCTTTACCCCACTCCCACCCCTGCCAAGCAGAGGACCAGGCGCTCACCGGTCATCAGGGTGTAGTAGTTGGGATAGGAGAGCGTGGGGAAGTCGGGGGTCAGGTAGTCCGCTTTCACCCCCCGGCTCACAATCTCCTTCAGCCCGGGCAGGGACTCCAGGGCCTCGTCGCCGATGTAGTCCGAGCGGAAGCCATCCAGCAGGAACACCAGCAGCTTCCGGGGGGCAGCGGCTGGCTGGGCCAGGCCCAGGGCGAGGGCCAGCAGGAGGGCCGGGAGCAGTGCCGCCATGCTGCCAGGAGCCTGCCGAGCCGGCTGGCACGGTCGTCCCCGTGCAAAGACCGAGGATGGAGAGTCTGTAGCTCTTCTCTCTTCTAGGGGCTGGACCTTGACTGCTGGCCTTCCTGAGCCAAGTTCACTTTCAGAATTTAAAGGTACAGCACCCTTTTTTTCTTTTTCTTTTTCTTTTTCTTTCTTGAGTCCTCTATGAGCATTGATTCCAAGCAGCAGGTCATCCACAAAAATCGGCTCTGCAGCCCCCCTCAGAAGCCGGCTGCTCTTATAGGGTAGGACACAGATTACACAGGCAGGACAGAAATGGGGAAGGACGAGGCTGGGGCGGGGGCAACAAGGTTGTTCCTCTTTCCGTGATCTCCGGCAGTTCTTGAATGGAATGGGCCGCATTCCAAGGATGACCCCTCCCCCTAGATCCGAGGTTGACTCCCAGGTCCCCACAATTCCCAGCTAGGTCAGAAGGTCCTTTCCTTAATCCAGGCGATCCTGGTTAACAGAGCAGGATTAATATTTCCCATAACAACATGCAGTGGTGTCTTACAACTAATTGATCACAGCCAGTTACAGATTTCTTTGTTCCTTCTCCACTCCCACTGCTTCACTTGACTAGCCTCAAAAAGAAAAAAAGAAGAAAAAAACAATAACTAGCCCCCAATATTCTATTTTTTTAATTAATTAATTTTTTTTTGCCCCTAACATTTCCCCGCTGCTGTTTCTATCGTCTCATAGCTGTGAGATTAGTTTTAGATAAGAAGTCTCCGCATCTGTTTCTGCCTTGAAAGCAGCGCCCAGGATAGAGTTCACCACGCGCAGGATCCTGGGCATGGTTTCTGTCAGCGGAGGACTGTCGGGAAGATGAAAACAGCACATTCCTTCCCGTTCCTCCCAGCCGCGGCCACGCCCCAAACAGCAAACGGCCCACGGCCTCCCTCCCGGCTCAGCTCAGGATGTACCCGTGGATGGCCCTGGAGGTGGCCTTGGAGGTGGCCCTGGAGGTGGCCCTGGAGGTGGCCCTGGAGGTGGCCCTGGAGGTGGCCCTGGAGATGGCCTTCAGGGCTCTGACCTTGCTACATGCCAGCCGGGTCACGTCTACGCGAAGGGAGCCTGCCCATCCCAGCGTCACAGACGTGGTCCACAGAAGGCCTCCAGCAGGCTCCGCAGATGGCCTGTCCCCGCAGTCAGGGCCATGGCCCTGTGGTGTTTCTGGGCTCCGAGCTGGTCAGGCACCCTAAGGCACAAGGCCTACCGAGACAGCACCCTTTTTTTTTTTCAAAAGACATCCCTGCTCACCCTTCCCTAGGAAATCAGGAGGCGGACTCCTTTGGAGAAGCTGGATCCACAAACAACCCGGAATTAATGCCAGGGGAGACCGTGCCGCCCTGTTATTATTATTTGGGATGAAGGTTCCAGGATCACAAGCCCCCACAGAGAGGAGGAAGTGCAGGAGATGACAGAAGGCCACGCTGACTGTGCACCTGGACTCCCCCCAGGGAAGAGCCCAGGAGAAGGGCCATCTTTTTAATTTGCTGCCATCCTACTACCTCTTTGCTCCGCTTAAACTCTTACACTTGGTTGCTTTCGGTTTGGAAATGCAAACCTCTGCACCCCATATATGAGCTAAACTCGGTGGTCCTGCTTGTGAATTTGTTGGCAAATTCCTGGCCATAACTCTCCCAAACCAATTGTTTGTCTCGTGCTTTATTTTTCAAGTTGCTGGGGTCCAAACCCATCCTTGGGAGGAGTGGTTCTCAGCTGAGCTGTGGTGCCAGGGAGGAAGTTCCCCAGTGGGCCAGCACTGCCCTGGGAGGGCCCGGAGGTCGAGGCTGGAGGTAAGAGTTTGGGATGGGAAGGCAGAGTTGGAAAGGATGCAGGCTCCCTCCCAGGACAGGCTGGGGCGGGGTGGGAGGTGGAGGCTGACCGGGGCTCAGTGAACTACAGCCAGGCACAGGGGTGAGAGCCTGAGCGCTAATCCAGATTCTCAGGGTGCCCGGGTGGCAGGCAATGAAAAGGGCTTATAAAATGTGCCAGACCCACAGCTAGCTAAGATTTGGGTTCTGGTGAAGGTTGAAAGGTCAGGGCCACCTCCACTGGGACTGAAGGCAGGCGAACACCAGCCACCTGACCTCGATCAACTCTGAACGCTTCTCTCAACACCCCCTAAGCCGCCGTCCCCCTCCCCCCCGCCCGTGCCCTCCTGCCTCCTGTTCTCCCGTATTTGGGGCCTAGCCCTCACCAGAGACCACCCGTCACTCTCTAAATTGTGTACAAAAAAGAAAACACACCGGCCAATTTCCCATCCCCCTCTCCGCTGACTTAGACAGGCACAGACTTCATCTTTCCAAGGAAGATAACGCCTTTTACGATTGAAAAATAAGAAAAAGAGGAGCCAAAACCGGTTTGGCTCAATGGATAGAGCGTCGGCTTGGGGACTGAAGGGACCTGGGTTCAATTCCGGTCAAGGGCATGTACCTTGGTTGCCAGCACATCCCCAGTGGGGGGTGTGCAGGAGGCAGCTGATCGATGACTCTCTCTCATCGATGTTTCTGGCTCTCTATCTCTCTCCCTTCCTCTCTGTACAAAATCAATAAAATATATTTTAAAAATTAAAATAAAAAAAAGAAAAAGAGGAGTTTATTCGTAAAGTGTGTGACTTTGAGAACATGATGTTACTTCTCTTTCTGTGCGTTGTGGGAGACTTGTTCTTCTAAACAGAAACAAAAAAGGGTGGGAGAGGGAAAGGCAGGGAGGGAAAATGAAGGGGAAGGAGTGAGGACGGGGTGCCGGCCACTGTCACACACCCTGAAGAACTTTCTGGGGAGGGAGGGGCAGAGGTGGGGGGAAGAACTTCCTCCTGGGGGGAGGGAGGGTCCCGGGAGGCAGTAGACAGGCCCTGAGTGGTTCTGAAGCCTCCGGGCGGTGAAGATAACAGTGAGGGGCCGAGGCCTCCTAGTCGGCCTTGGGGATGACCTTGGGGAGAGGCGCAGGATTCTATAAAAGGGGCACCCACTTTCCTCTGCTGCTAGCTGGGAGTGCAACCCAAAACACAGCCCCCTGAGTGCCCGATACAGCTGTGAGGGGGGCAGGCCTTCCCTGACTCGCTCTCCTCAGAGCATCCACAGGCCCCAAGTTCCCCAAGGCCGCACCCCTCACGCTGGGCCGTGTGGGTGGCGGGATTGCTGATGTGCCTGTATTGTTTATGGTGACCGTATTGTTATATGATCATGTTTAGTAGTTTCTCTAAGGTTTGGCGTCAAAATTATTGTCCATGAACATCTTTATCATACATGCCAACATATGAAGAAAGGAACAAGGAAAGTTTGAGATGGGATTCCAGTCAGACTCCTGGGCCCGTGTACATGTGACCCAGAAGAGGTGGGAAGTCAAAGCTAAGCAATGATAAGCAAAGGCGCTCGATCAGAAAAAGTGGTCAATATTAAGTGCCCAGAGCCGGGCGGCCCAAGGCCGTGTTTGTCTGTTCGAGGGGCCCTCTAAAAGGGCTTCCTGCCACTTGTTTTTCCAGGGTTGGCAACGCCCTAAGGTCATTGCCCGCGGGGGTGTAACCTTAGTGCAGAAGAACGAGAACTTTCCGTAGGACAGGGACCACCTTTGCCCAGGGACACGCTTGAGCTCCCGGGAATGTGCTGCGCAGACAGTCAGCACCGTGGCGCCTGGCCTCCGGAAGGGGCCCTGAGGTGGGAGGAACGGGTCGGAGGAGGGACAAGACGGGGTTCTAGGGCCTGGGAGTCTAGCATTGGACAACTGTGTGATTCTGAGAAAGCTACCTCCCCACACACGGTTTTCACCTCTGAGGATGTGCCTGTAACCAAGATACATGCCCTTGACCAGAATCAAACCTGGGACCTTGCAGTCTGCAGGCTGACGCTCAATCCACTGAGCCAAACCGGTTTTGGCAATAAAATATAAATAAAATAATTAAAGAAAGAAAGAAATAGGAAAGAATGTCCTTTAGGTTTAAGGTCCTTTCCAGCTGTAGAATCAATGAGCTTCAGAAGGAGGGATCCCAGTCAGCCATGCTGGCCAACACCAGCCTTCACTGGCCCTGCTAATCCATCTGTTTGCCCACCCTGTTGGGCCTTGTTGGCTCATGTCAACACTTTCATTTCCTAGAAATCAGCAGTCGTAGCTCCTCAAAGTGTTTGCCCCAATCCCAGACCAGGGCGAGTGTCCCATCGGCCCTCTCTCTGGTAAGGCGTAGGAACTAGAATCTTAATACATTTTAAAGGGCTGACACCCTACAGAATATGTCCTAGACCCGTGAACATATTCTTCTAAAATTAAGAGTATTAGTCACCAACACACTTCTACTCTAAGAAATAGGAAAGAATGTCCTTTAAGTTTAAGGGAAATAATACAAGATAAAAAAAAAAAAATTAAGACCTACAGGAAGAGAAAAAAGTTATCAGAAATGGTAGATATATGGATAAATATAAATGACTATATGTTTTTCTTTTTTAAATGCTCTTTAAAAATAACAGTGTAGCCCTAGCCGGTATCTATGGATAGAGCATTGGCCTGCAGACTGAAGAATCCCAGGTTCAATTCTGGTCAAGGGCTCATGCGCTTGGTCCCCAGTAGGGGGCAGCTGGTCAATGATTCTCTCTCATCATCGATGTTTCTGTCTTTCCCTCTCCTTTCCTCTCTGAAATCAATAAAAAGTATATATTTAAAAAATTGCTTTTAAACAAAAAAATAAGTTTAAAGTCAAAATAATAACACTATGCTGGGACTTATTATTTATACCTTATGAAGAATTAGAAGACAAAAACAGTAGCTTAAAATACAGGAGTAGGATGTTTAAGTGGAATTAAACTGTTGAGACATGTTTTCATTTTCAAAGTGGGGAAAGTCAGATAGTCAGATATAAAGAATAAAATGTAAAGTGATCAGATATTAAGTTTTAAGTAGATTACAATAAGGATGCATACATTAATGCTAAGAGCAACCACTAAAAATAATACAAAGAGGCACAGCTAAAAAGCGGGTGGAGAATTAAACTTCATCAACATAGTAAAGGCCATATATGAAAAACCCACAGCTAGCATCATACTATTAACGAAAAAAAACCAAAACATTGAAACCTGTAGAGAATTTTTGTGAGTTTTTTTGAGCCAAAGTGTGAACTTAGCAGAACCTCAATGAACTGAGATAATGCTCAGGTTCCATCTGTACTTACACATTGTGATCAAAGGAAAGGGACATAGGTGCTTACATGAAATCCATAGG